CAAGTTCAGTCCTGTGGTTCAAATAAAAAATACATTTTTTTCAACCTTGAAGAGGCCCATGGGGTTTCTTGAACATCAAATCATGCTTGCACAAACAGCATGTTGATGAGCTAAGTGTAACTGAATCACAAACATACAGAGCTAAGTGTTTTCTGGAACATGCAGACCCTCCCATACTGCGGGGGTGGGGGAGCTCCGGGAAGCGTTTGTTACGCCTGTTTCTTCCTTTAGAGAGTATCCCCTTTTACCATATTTTATCCCCTCCTCAAGGAGCCTTTGGAGGACATTTGCAAAATGTGGGAAAGGGAAGAGTCTGTATCCAGCTGTTCAAGATGCTGACCTCTTTAATCCCTTCCTACTTATGTTTTAAACCAGGCTTTGGATAGAGTTAGCATGGCTTAGAGGTCAAGGTCAAGAGCAAAGTTCTGGCCCTGGTTCTACCATTAAATAGGCAGATCAAGTCCTACACAGAGGACTTGAAGTCGGAAAGCTGGCAGCTTTGTCCTTGGTGGTCCTCACTGTACTATTTTGTAACAGCTTTATGGGAAAATAATTCCGTTATTCCCATACAATACCGATACGGGAAAATAGAAACTCCCAGCCTGAACAATATCTAACTATTTAGAGAATGTGAGTTCGTGTTCTCTAAAATCGAAGAATAAATTTTAGGAACAACGGAGGTTAAGAGCAGAATATATTTATTGAGGGAAAGGAAGCTTCTGTCCAAGAGAGGGAGAGAAGGGGGCCCGAGTGTGTTGCCAAGGACCTTGCCCTTCCCAGGGACTTTATAGAGCAAAACCCCGAGGTGAGGCGGGTCCAAGATAGGGGGAAAATGGGAAATTACAAGGTGGGCATGAGGTGGGACAAAACTATGGTCAGCCAATAAGAGTACAAGCATAATTGCTCAGGTAAAATTGATTAAATTGGGATACAATGGGGAAGCGAGTCACATGGCAAGCGTGACCGGGGCTTTTCCTGTAGAGGGTTGGGCTACTGACTTTTCCCGGCTTTTTGAAGGTGATTGCTACCTATTTAGAATATCAATTCCTGATGCCCATACCTAGGGAGGGTTGTGGGTACATTTGTTTAGTCCTTTGTCTTGAGGTCTGGCCTTCAGCAAATACACCTCCATTTGCCAGGTATCTTGTCTTTCATGTCGGCTCCTTCGAGGGCCTGGCCCTGTCTGACTGCCTATAATATTTCTGTCTAACTCAGCTGCCTACAACAATACGATTGTAATACATACAAATACCCGCTTTCCAATGGGCAACTGGATGATTTTTAGTATATTCAGAACACTATGCAACCATCACCACAATTTTAGAAAATGTTTTCACCCTAGAGAAAAACCCGTACCCTTTACGTCACTTTCTTTTTCTCTCCATCTTCCATACCCCAGACAAACGCTAACCTACTTTTTGTCTCTTACACTTGCCTTTTCTGGGCCTTTCATATAAATGGTATCATATAAAAATGGGTGGGTTTTTTGGACGGGCCTCTCTCACCTAGCGTTTGCAGAGTTGACCTATGTTGTAGCATGTATTAGTACTTGATCCTGTTTTATGATAAATAATATTCCATACAATATAGCATTATCCTTTTGTTATAGGCAGCTGAGTTAGATAGAAATATTATTGACAGTCAGACAGGGACAGGCCCTCGAAGGAGCCAATGTGGAAGACAAGATACCTTACAAATGGAGAGGTGGTACTTGCTTTGGGCCAGATTTCAAGACTAAAGATTTTTTTTGGTGTGTGGGGAGTATTTTCTGGTACCAGGAATCAAACTCTCGACGTCGCGCTTGCCAGGAAAGCGCTGTGCTGCTGAGCTAAATCCCCAGCCCCTAAGACTAACGATTAAACAAACACACCCTCTTACCTCCCAAGGGATGGACCTCAGGGACTGACCTTCTAAATAGGCAATCACCTTGAGGAGTCCCTGACCCAACCCCTTACAGGAAAAGCCCTGTTCTGTATTCATGCCCGCTTGCTACATGACTCACTTCCCCATTTGATCCCAATTTAATCAATTTTACCTGAGCAATTCTTACTGGCTGACCATAGTTTTATCCATTTTTCGCTTCCCTTGGACCCACCTCACCTCACTGTTTTGCTCTATAAAAGTCCCTAGAAAAGACAGAGTCTTAAGTAACCCACTCAGGCCCCCCTTCTGTCCCTCTCTTGGACAAAAGCTTTCTTTCCCTCAATAAATATATTCTGCTCTTAACCTCCGTTGTTCCTAAAATTCATTCTTCGATTTTAGAGAACACAAACTCCTCCCAGGTATCATTCAGGTTGGGAGTTTCTATTTTCCTGTATCACTCTTATCAGTCCATGCACATTTAAAATGTTTTTACTTTGTGGATACTGTGAAGAACACTGGTGTGAACGTTTGTATATAAGTTTTGATGCAGAATATGTTTTCATTTATATTAAGTAGATGCCTAGGAGCACATATGCTGAGTCACATGGTAACTCTGTATTTACCCTTTCGAGGAACTGCTGTACTGTGTCCAAAGTAACTAAGCTATTTCACGGTCTCACAAGCACTATGTGGGGGTTTCAGTTTCTTCACAGCCTCACCAGCACTTGCTATTACCTTTTCTATCCTAGTGGGTGTGAGGTTGTGTCTTACTATTATGTTGATGTGCATTTCTCCAATGCTAATGTTGAGTATCTTTGCTTGTGCTTATTAGTCATTTGTGTTTTTTATAGGAAAATAGGTCTATTCAGATGCTTTTCCCATTTTAAAATCCAGGCTGATTATCGTTACTATTATTTATTTGGTTGTAAGATTCTTTGTAGATTCTAGATTAAAATCTCCTATCGGAAATATGATTTGCAAATAATTTCCTCCCGTTTTTATTCTAACGAGGTAGCATCAATTTAAAAAGAAAACTTCTCAATTTAAAAAACTCATATCGTCAGCTTCCTTTGGAAAACAAATGATTTGGCAACAGTGGACCTTCCTTCCAAACAGCATGAAGCAACACGCACAGAATAGAAACTGCCCACGCCCCGCCCCCACCTGCCGACCCACTCCTGACAAGGGACAGAAAGCCCCCCAGGTAAGGAGGAGGCTCTTGTAACTTACCTACCAGACTCCTGAGGACACTGATTTGTGGCTCCTCTTAGAGAATCTGACAAAGCATGGCCTGCATTTCAACTCCACTGAAACTGCCCTTAGAATTGAAGTAACTATTTCTCTCCAAGTTGTTGTCACCCTTGGCATTTAAGCATAGAATTCCCCCAGAGTTCGCACCATCTAGCAAGTCCTCCACTCTTATTTTGCAGTTTGGATTTTGCAAGGCTTGGGACAAGTCACTGAGACTTGGCAAACCACCTCCCCCCACGAGATTTTGGCAGCCCTGTTCATACTGATGTCATGAGTGTCGCTTGCCATAAGACATCCTCCTTATTAACGCAAAACAGCCAAACAAACAAATGTAGCCAACGAACAGCCTAACAGACTGCCTGAGCTTCAAAACACTGCATAAAAATACCCGGGAAAACAGTTTAGTGCTTAGGACCACATCCAAGAAGCAAAATCGCTATTTCTTACTGTTAACTATCATGTTCCCTGATCCTACTTTGCCACTAAAAGCAGTCTCCTCTCAGAATATAATGAGTACCCCCTAAAAAAATAATAAGCTAACCTAGTTATATAACATTCTTTTCCCCTTACCTCAGTAACCTTTAATTTCTTATTCACAGGGCCAGGGATATAGCTCGGCGGCATAAGCACCTGTTTGGCAAGTGCAAGGTCCTGAGTTCGATTCTCGGTACCAAAAAAATAGGAATTTAAAAAAAAACTTTTTATTCGTCTACCACTTCACTTAAATATTATTTTTTAGTATTCCCTTATAAAACAGCTTTATTCAATATAGTTAAAAAAAACTTTTTATTCGTCTACCACTTCACTTAAATATTATTTTTTAGTATTCCCTTATAAAACAGCTTTATTCAATATAGTTTACATATCCTAAAATTCACCAATTTGAAGTATCCAGCTCAGTGGATTTTGGTATATTCACTGAATTACACAGCCATCATCACAGTCAATTTTAGGACATTTTCATCCCCTCCTGCCAAGAAACTTACCATATCCTTTAGCATAATTCCTCATTTCCCCCATCCTCCCTAGTATTAGCAACCAGTAATCTGCTTTCTGTCTCTCTGAGCGTTTCATAAAAATAAAATCATACAATATAAGGCCCTCTGTGATGGGCTTCTTTCATTTAGCCTGGTATTCTCAGGATTTTTTGTTTGTTTGTTTGTTTTTTGTTTTTTGTTTTCCAGTACAGAGGATCGAACTCATGACCTTGCACTTGCCGGGCAGGCGCTGTGCCACTGAGCTAAATCCCCAGCCCCCTATTCTCAGGATCTATGATGTAGCATGTATCAGAACTTCATTGCTTTTGTTATAGAACAATCCATTTAAAAAGATACAGCACATTTTATTTATCCATTCAAGAGGACCTATGAGCTGTTTCCATTTTTAGTAAGTATGAATACTACTGGTATAAACATTTTATACACATATGAGTTTACTTCCCTTGGATATAAACCAAGAAGTGAAATTGCGGAGTCATATAGTAACACTGTGCTTCATATTTAGAAGAAATATTAACACACTCTTCAGAGTGCCTGCACCATTTTTCACTTCCAATAGCAATAAATAAACGTACTGATTCCTCTTTACCTTTGCCTGTTCTTACTATTCTCTGTTAATATACTTGTCACCCTTCCTTTACCGGCTCTCCTTAGATTTCATACGAAGTTCCTAACACTTTTTGTGATCTGGGAAGTGTGGTGGTGAGACAGCAGATAGGGCATGGCTTAGACTGGCTGGGAAGAGAAGCACGGCGGGATCCCAGGATCTACACAGCATGGCCTCTCAGGACCCCGTATGCACCCACTATCGTGCCTCTTCGTGGGCACCCGGCCTGTGTCTCCCAGCCCCAGGGTGTACTTTCACTTCTGCTTTTAAATTTCCTGTCTTTTGTTTGGCCCAAGTTCACTCTGCAGAGCCAATTTCTCCCTTACTCTCCACCCCTAGCTTTTTAAATAAGCTTTGGCTGCATTTTTAGCTTGTCCTGTTCAATTTAAGACAGCACAGGTTAGCCTGTCTTGTTCAGTTGGAGCCAAGAAGGCCCTGGAGCTCAGGTACCAGGAAACTAAGGTAAGGCACATGTTGAGTGCATTTTTTGTTGTTGTTTCTCTCCATGGAGACTTTTTTCTTCTTCTTCTTCTTCCCCTCACACTGCGCCCAACTCCGGGAATCTGAGATGCTCTTCACACGGCACTAGAGAGAGGCCTCCTGGCCCTGCCGTGGTTGATGGGGGAAGGAACGTAGGCTTTCAATTTTCTTTCTAGCACTTTGTACTCATTCCATGAGTACGCGTTGTTGTCCACACATTTGCTGCCCTTTTTGGAAATTACCCCGGTCCTCACTTACTCTAGTTTGTAAATGGCATTTCTCTCTCGGGGTTGGGTTTTGGTCCAGAGTGCCACCATATTGCCTTGCCACACGGCCACTCACCATGTTGCCTTGCCACGTGGCCAGCCATCATCTTGTCCTGTTACGGGCCTTGTCACTGGCTCCCATCTTTTTTCATTTTTCTTTCTTTTTTTTTTTAAGTAACTGGTCTTAGAAGCCAAGCCTCTGGTTTTAGACAATGCAGGCTTGTGGAGAACAAGGAAGAGGAACCTCTTTCTTCCCACGTGGGAGAGAACAGTGTGCGTGGATAGTTTAAGAACTCTCACCGCCTGGGACAGGGCGAAATGGGGCAGCAGGAGAGCACGCGAGCAGCACCAGCGGTAGTGGAGGCCTGTTCCCAGCAGGGCACGATCATCTTACCAGGGCGCCGGGTGGGCTCAGACAAACAATAAACTGCGTGCTTTAAAAACCTCTAAGGCTTTTGGCTGCCCTGGGCACAGGGCAAGCTGAACAGCCCCGCTGGGGGTAGAGGGGCGACCTAGGTGGTCACGTCAGTGGCACCCACCCCAAATGGCAGGCCTCAGTGGCACTGAGTGGAGACGAAAACGAGGCCCCACGGGGTTGGAGCCAGCCGGAACAGCGAGTACATGGTGCCGAGTCCCTTGGCGGTGTGGAGAGCCGGCCAGGCCGCCCAGGTGTGCACGCCTTCGGGTCTATGTGTGGAGCCCCTGCCCGGTGCTTACAGCCCTCGGCTTCTGCATTTCCATGGTAATGAGCAGTGCCAGAGGCACAGCCCCACAGAGGCAGGGGGCCAGACCAGGGCGTGCCGGGGCCTGAGTCCACAGGGCTAAGCGTGGGTGGGCCGAAGCTGTTTGGCCTGCCTGGAGGCCAAAGGCCCGAAGGTCCCCTCTGACTTGTCGGACCCACACTGAGCCAAGAGTGCCAGGCACGACAGCAGCACTGGAGCAGGGAGCAACAAGGCCTTCTCTGAGCTGTGCAGCTGACTTTTCTGGGAATCCCCTCACGTGCCCTTCTGCCCTTCTCGGGCCACTGGTGCTGGCACAGCAAGAGATGCTAGAGCTGGCCGTGCACGTAGGCCACAACGGCACACGCCTGCCTGTCCAAGAGCCCACCCGAGGCTACTGACTTGTGGCCTACATTTCTTCCCTGTTTAAATGCAGAGGAGCTAAAGACCTCTGCCTGATGGCCTGCGCAGAGCAGTGTTCAACAGCGTTTAAAAGGGAACTGAAGTGACTGTGAGTGTACAAAAGCAAGCCATCCCCGTTCCTGACCCTTTTTCTACTGGAGTAAACGCAAGAGATGTTTTCCCCATATGGTCTCACTCTGTGAGAGCCATTTCAGTGGCTCAGCTGGGTTGCTTGGGAAAGTTCCACCCTTACTTTATGGGAGTTAAAGAAACTAAACTAAAGGAAGCAAGGCCAGCAGTGGATTTAACCCTCTTCTTCCTCATGAGTTAATGGGTCTCACTATAGCGACAAAAGCCTTCTTTTGTTGCTTTTGGTTCTTGATGCCAGCATCAGCCTAAGGTTTGGACAGAGATGTCCCTCTAGTTTCTGTTAGGATCTCATAGGAGACATCTTATGAAACACTTTGGTCTCTTCTCTTTCTACACAGAATGCTTTTTTGTGGGGGAGGGAATCAGGGTCTCGATATGCAGCCAAGGCTGACCTAGAACTCATAGCAATCCTCCTGCCTCAGCCTGCCAAGTGCAGGGAGTACAGGCTTGTGCCACCGCACCTGGCTGTATGCCATTTTAAGTAGCCAAGACTTGGCTGTCTCCTGTCTATGGGCCCCAAGCCAAGCAAATGGGAAACCTCGTGGATCTCATCACCACACAGATTCCACTGACTTCACCGCAAGGCCGTACCCTTGATGTATGGGAAAAGTCTGATCCTGACAACTTAAAACAGAAAAATCTTATCTGTTTGGCTGTGGTTTAGGCCCAGTATGAACTAGGAGGTGGCAAAGGATGGGGATGGGATGGTGTTCTAAACCCTGAGACTGTTCTCCAGTTACAGCATCTCTGCTTATGACAGAAGAAGTGGAATTAAGCCCCTTATGTAGAGTCTTTTGTAACTCTTTATCACAGGAAATGCTCAAAAACTAGGAAGACCCAGGCCTGGAACCCTCACTTATCTCACAGCAGGGGTGTGGGTCTTTCTGATCTGTTCGATGATGCTGGGAGGTCTCGTCCAACTCCTCCTGATAGCTCCAGACCAATAAGTCAGGCCCCTTTTACAGTTATAAGCGCCTGACAGTGCAAAGCAGGGAGACAAGGAATCCTGCAGAAGGCTAAAAACTATGCAAGTGGCTCAGGGATATGCAGTAGCTCAGTGGCACAGCACCTGCCTTGAAAGCTCAAGGTCCTGAGTTGAATTCCCAGTACCAAACAAAACAAAACAAAACAAAACAAAAACAAAACAAAACAAAAAACTATGCAAATGATTAATGTGCTTTAAAAAAGCAAAGAAACCCCCCTGTAAAGGTTATTCCTCCTTCAACACAACCAAACTGGGACTGTAATACTACTGGGGCACTAAGAATGATGTCTGATTTGCTAGCTGCTTTTACCAGGGAGATAAAGAAGTGTGTTGGGTGGTTCATAACTATACTAATCAAGAGCATGGGGGCAGAAGAGGACCTTTCCCTCAGGGATGAGGCTGTTATTCCAATCTGTCCTCCAGTGGCAGAGCCATATACAGTTCTCTCCCAAATTCCAGGGGACACTAATTGGTTCTCAGCCTTACATTTATAAGACACATTTCCCTTCATCCCCTTACATCTAGACTCTCAATTTCTGTTTGCCTTTGAATGATGTAATATTCTAGTTTACAGCCCCAGATATTCAACATAAGATGCAACAACTTTAGATGGGCCTACAGATACCCATGGCCCAATTACTGGACATGGCCCTCTCTGTGTTCAACAACCAGGGCCCAGAGGATGGACAAAAACAGGCTAAGATTATAGATATCACAATTGGTAATGCTTTATACTGATCCTGGTTGTCTGGAGATAAACCCAGGGACAACCAATGTTCCTATTTCAAGTGCAGAAAGACTGGATACTGAGCACAAGACTACACCAAGCCACTGCCTGGGCCCTGAGGCCCTGCTCTTACTAGGGAAATAAAGAAGTGTGTTGAGCCGTTCATAACTATACTAATCGAGAGTGATTAGTTCTCTGAGGAACTGAGGTGTGGCTCACTGATGGAAGTAGCTTTGTCCAAAAAGGCAGGTTATGCAGTTATCAGCTCACAACAGGTTGCTGAGGCTCAACCTCTCCCTCTAGGAACCTCTGTTCAAAAAGCAGAATGAATAGCTCTTACTTGGCCACTGATATTAGGAAAAGCACAAAATTAAACATCTACATTGACTCCAAATATGCCTTTCTGGTGTTACACACCCATGCAGCAATCCAGAAGAATGCAGAAAGAAAGAGGCTTATTGACCAGTAAGCAATCAGCTAAAAAGAACAGGCAGGAAATTCTACAGCTCCTAGAGATAGTCCATTTTCCCAAGCAGTTTACAGTCATGCACTGGAAAGCGAACCAGAGAGACATATCTGAAGTCTCCTTGGAAAATCAATAGGCGCAGCCCCCCAGGGAGTAGGAGAACACACCATCCCTAGTAGGTAGACTCTATAGCCCCTTCCAGCTCAAAGGAGCTATGGAAGACAGAGTCCTCTACTCCCTCAGCAGCCCATAAAGAATGATGGAATTTGTCTGTGAGGGAGAAATGAGATAGCAGATAGGGCGTGGCTTAGACTGGCTGGGAAGAAAGGCATGGCGGGTCCCAGGATCTACACGCCATGGCCTCTCAGGACCATGTATGTAACAAGTTCTCACCAGTTCCCATGAGGTGTGGGTGGCATAAAAGGACTCAGACCCCATGAAGAGCCCATGATCGTGCCTCTTCTTGGATGCCCGCCCTGTGTCTCCCAGCCCCAGGGTGTACTTTTATTTCTGCTTTTAACTTTTCCTCTCTTTTGTTTGGCCCAAGTTCACTCTGCAGAGAGTTTCTCCCTCACTCTCCACCTCCTCGCTTTTCAAATAAACTTTGGCCCCATTTTTTAGCTTCTCTTGTTCAATTCTTTGTTCGAAACAAGAAGGATTTGGAACTAAGAAGCAAGCACCCCAAAAACCTGGTAACATTTAATTGGCGAGCCATTTCTAAAAGGAGCTGCCTGACAACAGTGACATTTACTTTTAGAGGGAAGCCTTACTTTTCCTCTTCTTCTAGGGAATCCACTGGAAAATATCATACTTCAAAGGATCCTTCACTCTCTTAAATCAGATTTGTTTTCAGAGTGCAATTTCAACCTGAATCTCTAAGTGCTTAGTCTGGATATTTTATTTTATTTTTTGTTTTATTTTGAAAAAATTTTTGAAGAGAATTTTAAAACAACAATAAAAATGATACAGAATTTTGAAACAAGATGATAGGAAATTAACAATGGTTATTATATTGCATATTGTTACCTTCAAAGTAGTTGAAGATTACCAGATATAGGCATGCTAAATTCATCAAACAATATAAGCATGAACTGTTCCTTTCAGTAGACTAATAGAAATCCATAGTACAATTATCTTAGCTATCTTATGTGTATATATTTCCCTTCCTTCTCTTTTCCTTTCTCTCCCATCATTAGATACAAACAAAATATTCCAATTAAATCCTATAAATTAAAGCCATAGACATGGGATTTGGGGAATAGAAGGAATCCTAAAGATGCCTTCACCAGTGACTTCATTTCAAAGCTAAGGAGGCTCAAACCAAACCAAGATACTCAGGTGTATAAGCCCACACTGCTGTTTATCACAGAATAAGACTGAAACCTGAGTGTTCTTATCAGTTCACCCTGAACTCTCCCAGCCAGCTGGGCTTTGCAAACACTAGGGCACTAAAAATATCAAAAGAAAGCACTGCATCCATAAACGCAACAAGCACAGTGTAGAATTAGGTGATTCTGGATATCTGTGGGCTGATTTGGGCTCATAGAAATGAATTTAACTTGCCCTACATGGTACTTTAAGATATTGTTAAGTAGTCACTGCTGTGATTTGGATGTGACTTGTCCCACAAAGATTTGTGTTGGAAGTATGTTTCCCTGAGTGGCAATGTTGACAGGGTGTGGGACCTTTCAGAGGCAGAGCCTAGTAGGAGTTCCTAAGTCACTGGGACCCTGCCTTGGAAGGAATTAAGGTAGTTCTCATAGTACTCTAAGTTCTCCTAGGACTCTAAAGTCTCCTAGGACCCATGATTCTGCTTCAATTTTGCAGTGGATCAGCAAGACTTCAATAATACAACCCAGTGCTCACCCAGTAGGCCTTATTCATCATCCGACCTGCCTGATTCCTGAAAGTAATTGACGCTGGGACCCTCAGTGCAGGTAATTGGAACATGTGTGTGGTGTTTGTGCATTTGCCTCCTGCAGAAGTCTCCTCACCCTACATGGCCCAGGTGAAGGGAAAGACAGCACAGATACCGGTGGATAACTGAGATCTTTGCAGGCTTATAGGGCTTATCAGGAAAGCAGCAGAGTGAGCAGGAGGCCTGGGAGCCGCTGCGGGGCCTGCTTTGGGCTATATTCACAAAACAAGGAGCAGATGCAACAAGAACCCTGAAGATTTCTAAGAAAAATGACGATAGCGTGTTCCACACATCCCCTCAATGGAAGGCCTGGAAACAACACACATTCCTCCAGTAGAGTCGCTTAACCTTACTTGTTTCCACAAAGTGTCTTCTACTTCACCCTGCTGTTCTAGCCCGTTACTTCTTGGTGACCTGGGACAAGGTAACCTCTAGGCCCTCGTGGACCCCAGACTAACTGATCCTGGAGAGCAAAACACTACAAAGCCAAGCTGTCTGTGGGCTGGTTCCCCGCACTCACGTGATGAGGGTGAAAAGCATACTGCCCGTTTTTTGTTTTTTCTTAGTTCTTAGAGGTGACCAAAGCTCAGCCTACAGTGGGGTCACAGACACTGGAGGAATTTTCCCACATCCCAAGCACTTAACACCAGAAAGTCCGTTCTGCTCCTGTTAGCTGTGAGATCTTTGGCAACCTACATTTCCTCTTAAAGCTGCATCTATAAAGCAGGCAAGAGACTCCTGACCCAGATGCTATTCTAAAGACTAAGCAGGAGAACAGGAAAAGTGCTTTGCACTGTCTGCAGCACAGAAAGAACTCTGTTCCCACAATGTATTGTTTAAAATCTGATATCTACACATCTTCATAAAAGCACAGACTGTCAAGATTGGAGAAGTCATTGGAGACCCTATAGTTCACCAAACTTATGAGAAAAGCAGGTTCCTCCCCTGTAAAATGAGGTGATGGCCTCAAGCTGCAGCGTGTGGTCTCATCAGTCTAGGGCTTTGTCAATGCCTTTATTGTGTGAAGCAAGGCACACCTGCAGCACCAGCACGGATTTGCCCGTGGGGTAGGCCTTGCTGTTATGCTAAACAGTCCCCTTCCCTGCAGTTGCGGCCCACTACTTAACAGTCAGCACTTAAGAGGCCCCTGGGTGAAGCTCAGAGACAAATGAGCTTGGAACACATGTGGGAGCACAGGATTTACATCCTTTCTCTCTTTGCCAGAGTCGCAGGCGTGTAAGGAGAGGGATGGACAGCTCCGAGGTTGGAGTTCAGCGCAGCTGTGAAAACAGGCTGTCCCCGCAGCTTCGCCCAGCTCTTTGGCACAAAGAGGCCTTCCAGCAGCTTTGAGCAAAGGAAGCGCGACTCTGAAATGCAGAAAGCAAAGCTAAAAGCTGCTCTTGTATGACCTCATAGCCAACCAAGTCTTCCTTCCTTTCTTTGAAGTTGGGTGAGATTGGAGTCATGTGGGCTTAAGGGGGGAAATAAAATCTCTAAAGAAGATTTTGTTGTGCACCACGATCTCCACCTCACAGGGCCTGCTGACTGCAAGCAGACTTAAAACACAGAAACAGCCAAAGGGTCTGCTGACAGATGAATGGAAAAAGAAATTGTGGTCATATTTACATGCATAATGTAGTATTCTCCCATCTTTTAAAAGGAGATTTACTGTTTACAGCAGTAGAGAAGAACTTGGAAGGTATTATACATGTCACTATGTATATCAAAACAACTTGTTGTGCGTACTTTAAAAATACACAATTACATAAAAGTCCGAGCAGGATTTCACAATCTAAAACTTTATATTAGTCTGCTTTCCATTATTATAACAAAATACCTGAGGCAGGCTCCTTATGAAACACAGAGGTCTATTTTGACTCACTCTTCTAGAGGTTCAAATTCAAGATTGGGTGGCACCAGGGGTTTGGACCCCTGGGGAGGGTGGCTCATCATGGCAAGAACACACGTCAGTGGGGAAGGTTAAACTCCGTCATTGGTAGGGAAATGGAGACACCTTGAGATGTTAAGTGGTGTAAATCAGAAACACAAGCTTAAAAATCCCATGGTTTCTCTTATATGAGAAACCCGGATTATAATGTACGAAACAAAAGACAGGCAACAGGAAAGAGAGGAAAAAGTTATTGTAATCAGTATAAAGAGTGTATAATTGTCCTATATATTCTATATGGTGTTTTTGACCTCTTAGTTTGGCGGTTAATCTTTATGTATAATAATTAACTTTATAAGGAAGATGTTGTAGTCAGGGTTTACAAGGGAATGGATTTAATACAGGACACATAATTATAGGATTATTTTATAATATTCACCCAAAAAGTCAAATGCAGAAAAGTGCAGGAGATCTGTCCATGTGCTAGAGACCCAAAGAATCCAACTAAGGGCCTGGATCCCACATCAATGTCCTGCATGAGTCAAGCTGGAGGCCTGGAGCCCACAACAATGTCTCATGCAAGTCTGTATCAAGGATCTGCACTGGGAAGGCCCAAAGGTCAACGGTGGAAGTCAGAAAGTCTACATCAGTGGGGTGAAGGACCTGTGCCAGCATGCTGAGGGATCTGCACTGGAGCCAAGAAGTGATGCTCAAAGTAAGGGCCAGAGCTCCCCCAAGAGAACTTCATCCATCCTCAGTGACAGCAAAGACTGGAGCTCCTCCAATGATAAGAACAGCCAAGTTCATATCAGGAAAGCCAGCATGACAAGCTTCTCCAGGAGAATCAATAGCACATGATCTTCCTCTCCAGTTCTCCTTTTATGCTGTTGGCAACAATCCTCAGGTGGGCCTTGCACCTCAGAACCACCAGGCTGATTCAGTTTCAGCTAGGTGTTACAAGTTTACAATTAGTTAGCACCCCACAGAAGGATTTATAAATAAATGAATACGATATTGGAAAAAAAATTTAAGGGGGTTACATAGAGGAAGGGGGAAAAAAGAATTGAGATGTTTTATAGACAGTGTACACGTACCAGTTCCCTGCAATGAATATAATCATTACGTACTGCAAACATGTACTAATAAAAATTTTAAAAATAAAACCACCCCCAACCCCAAAAAAAAAGAACACATGGCAGAGCAAGCAATCACATCCTGAGCCAGGAGGCAGATGGAAACAGAAAGAAACCAGGTTCCCACAGTCCCTGTAAAGCACACCCTGATGACCTAAGCACTTCCCATCAGGCATCACAACTTAAAGGTCTACACCCATCTCCTATTTCTGCCCCACTAGAGACCAAGTCTTTACACACGGACCTTTGGGAACATTCATCCAGACCATAGCAAGCCTTAAATACTATGCCAAGCAAGGCTCCATCCAACACTCCACCTAATCCGTGCACCTTCTCTAGGCCTCTCAAAGGCTCACCTCCGTTTGGGCCTCAGGACTTGTGCAACTCTTGTTGCCTCTGAATGAAGCCACATCATCACTTCTTCCCCAGTTGCCAGCACCTGGCTAATTTCTACTTATATTCAGGGTTCAAGTGCAATGTGTCCCATAAGAAAGCCCTCCCCACATTCTCAATCATGGTAAGTATTATATATCCCACCTTCCCATGGCTGGAGGCCCCTGATGCCAGGATCTACCCCAGTTCTTTTCTACATTGGCAGGGCCGAGCACAGTTCCCAGTACATAGCAGATGCTCAGTTTCATTTAATACAAGAGTCAATGTGTGGATAACATACACAGTGGACAATACTCAGGACTTTTTCCCAGGGAGCTCAAACTTTCCAAAAGTAGGTATGCAGAATTAGAGAAACAGTCAGCTCTTTGCAAAGCCTTGCTGCTCTAGAAAAATAATGAGTAGTACACATGAGAAAGACTGCATCAAGCAATTTTTTTTTTTTTTTTTTTTGGTTTTTCTCTGGTACCAGGAACCGAACTCACGACCTTGCGCTTGCCAGGCAGGTGCTTTGCCGCTGAGCTAAATCCCCAGCCCCACATCAAGCAATATTTAGTAAGCACATAATATAGTCTCGGCCCTGCACTCAGCAGCCCCATGGCAAAGCCAAAGGTGACTGAGCCCCTAATTGGCAGCAGAGACACTCGTGGATATTAAACTTGGAAGGCCGTACGTTCCAGCTTCAACCAAAGGTGGCTATACTTCAGCTAAAGGATCTGCTCCTCCCATCTCGCATGCCCAGTCTTTGTGTTACAGGGTAGAAAAGTAAAACTATTCCCCATAAAAATCACTTCTGAGCGGATCATTTCTATGGCAAATGTCTAGGTGCTATATAGTCTAAGAAAGTGGGTAGGATAGACACTTTTGACTTTGAGAACCTAAAAAAAAGACAACAGGACCAACACACCAATTCTAGATAACTTATGAATTCATTCAGATACTTAGGGAAATTAATTTTTAGTCCTACTAAGTGCCAAGACCTATTCTAGTCAGTATTGATACAGTAGAAATCAAAGTCAATGGAAATCTCTATCTATCATGGAAAAGACAAATAATAATAACAAAAAAACCCATAGTATGTGAGGTGGTGGAAAGCACCACCAAGAAATAAAAATGAAGTGAGGGGAAGCTGGGGTGCTAGAAGTGCGTGGGGAGCAATTTATGTAGGACTGTCAGACTCTTAGAGCTTAACAGTACAGGAGGTGAGGGAGCAGCGTGCTAAGCAGCGTGTCCTGCGGGCTTAGCAACATGAAATTTGCCAAAGTCCCTAAAAAGAAGAGTTGGCCAGTGTAGGATGTGCCAGCATCCCAGCACAGTGGCTAATGCCAGGACCCAGGATGGCCTGGGCAGCTCAAGTCTCCCACATCGCTGGGCTCCTATCAGCACCACCCAGGGATCCGAGGAACACACTTGGACGTTACAGATCCACAGAGGCCCACGACACCCCCAGGCAGAGCGGGGATCGGTGGGTGACACACATCATCACCAGCTGTCACAGGCCAGGCAAGGAGAGCGCTTTCTATTACACGTGCTCTGGGGTTACCAGACAGCTCCACACCACAGGCAAGACAGTGCTAAGAAGCCACAGAGGAGGAGACCCCCAGGCACGCCACACGTGTAACGGGGGTGCCGCAGCGCAGCAGCGGGGTGCTCAGGGAAGGTGTCCTGGCAGACAGTCTTCACCGCAGGAGCCAGCACAAAAGAGCCTGAGTGTGTTCTGGGCTTTAGGAAAAATCTCATCAAAACAGACAGAGCCTGCAACTGAATCAAAAAGCAATTGTATCCCCAGGGTGGTGGGCTGGTGATGGGAAGAGGGAGACTGGCTCGGGGCTTGAAGAAAGAGGGCCCAGCTGACCTCCCAAAGGAGCAGCAGGGTGATTTGGGGCTAGTCCTGCCAAGGTGAGCTGTGTGAGCTTTGTGACCGCAGGCAGGTCAGAGCCCGCACTGCAACCCCTTACCTGACGTACAGCAGACGAGATGCGCCCCCAGGCCCTCCTGATCTAACATTTGCTGACGTTAATACCAACCGAGGAGTGAGCCCCCTCCCCTGGGTCTGCACCCCCAACAGAAATTTGTACTTGTGTCCACGGTAGCCAGAAAATCCGAACCCACCCCAAAGCAGTAGAATGAATAAATACATCGTGGTACATGCACACAGTTACATAATATAAAGCCATGAAAACGGACAAATACATAACAGCTCCTGCATAACAAGACTCCACCCAGATCTGCTTTATGGGTCCGGACAGGGAAAGAACAACATGTAACATTGGAAGTCAGGTTGGGGTCGCCCTGGCCAGAGGCAATTACAACCTTTAGGAGACCCGAGTGGGGCTTCCTGACTTCTGATAATGTTCTTTCTTGATCTGCTCTGGACAGGTGAGTGTGTTGGCTTGGTGAAAAATTCACGAAGCTGCATTTTTATAGTTAGTGTGTGCATTCTTTTTTTTTTTTTTTTTGAGACAAGGTCTCACTGTGTAGTTCAGGCTGGCCTTGAGTTCACTATGCAGCCCAGGCCTGCCTCAGCCTCCTGAGTCCTGGGATTACAGGTGTGTGCCACCATGCCCTACCTTACAGTGTATGCATTTGAAGTAAGTATGCTGCAAGAAAAAAAATTAAAACACTTTTAACAGGAAATACAAGAAACTGTCTTTAAAATCTTAGGGTACAGAAAATGTTCTTATATGTCACAATATAAATGATTTTTAAAAACTAATAAGCTAACTCAATCACATACATTTTTTTAAAAATTAGGAGGGAAGTGGAAATAATAGCAGCAGTGAACCTCTAAACTATATAAGGAATAACTTCATTAAAAGGTTACACTCATTTTGTCACCAGTTCTCCCAAGCCCTCTGGAAACATCAGTCCCATTGAATCTTCATAACCACCCTGAAAGTCAGTGATATGATCATTCCCATTTTGCAGATGGGTAGGCTGAGGTTTGGAGAATTCTAATTACTTGGCTATGAGACACGTGGCTGCTAAATGAAAAAGACAGTACTTGAACTCGGGTGGGTGTGGCTTCTAGGCTGTCCATCATCCCCCAGTTGGCGGAGGAGATTCAGAGGCCAGGCTGGGTGGAGAGTGAA